TATTTATATATATACATATTATATGTATATTTATTCTTTTTAATTTGTTTGTTTAGAAATTAAAAAAAATAGTAAACAACTAAATTGATTATTTTTTAAATAAAATAATTAAAATATTTATAAAATATAAGAATTTATTAATTGCAAGACTTCAGGGGTATTTGTGTCTTTTTATATCAAGTCAACCCTCAAATAGTTCCATAGGGGGGTTTTTGCTATTTAAATAATTTCACAGGGGAGGTTTTTGCTAGTTTATTTATCACAGGGGGGTTTTTGCTAATTCGAGATTACACAGGGGTTGTTTTTGCAGTTTACTCATCTAATTGGTCAGTTAATTATTAATATTTGATCGTTCATTCAACCAATCTACAGAAAAATAATTTATGGACAAATTCATTAGATTTATTCCCCGATAATGATTTTACTAGTCAATTATAAATAATCGATTCTTGCTCACTTTTACAAGGTTGTACGTTACTTTTGATTGCTTGAACTCTCTGAAATTTTCTCGATTTGATGATATACCAATTTACTTGAGCGTTGCATGGATCACTCGCTCGTGTGCAGTGATCTATACGCTTCGCAGTCCACATTAATTACTCCACGTAAGTGATACAACTTCAGTATGCATCCCATTTTTCGAAACATTTGTCGTATTTTAGTTGATTGACTTATTCATTAATTTCGCAATCACTGAAAACTTAAAGTTTAAAATTCAAATTTAGTAGACTTGTCTATTTATGATTTATTTATATTTTAAACCAAGAGAGATATTTGTGGACTATAATTAGAAAGATGAACTGTAGAAATGAATGTGACCTTTGAAAATTGAAGAATGAAATTAACTAGATAAAGAAAATAGGGACAATTTAGATATTTTTTATTCTTTTGCTTGAATTTTATTCACTACTTTTGAAAATAAATATTTATCTACATCATTTATTGCAAAGTCAATTGTAGTAATAAATACTTGTCCAATTTTTTTTTTTATTTATTATATATTTTTTTTGGGGCTCAATCTGAGGTATAAAAGTATAGGCATGTCAAATCACAAAGTTCTCAATAATCAAAATATTTCATCTACCGGGGACTAGCTTTCGACTAGGTGAAAATCTTGGGATAAAGATTTATCTGTATCATTGATTATTGATTTTGTCTCGTGTTGTAAATGAGTTGAGTCGTCTCGTGAGATCGATCGGTGAGTCGCCTCGACCTCCACAAGCTCGGCTCAAGCCAAATCTCGTCAAATTGGATTCAAGCTCAGCTCGAGCGCGACAAAACAGTCGGGTTTAGTTTGAGCTCGACTCGTTTATACTCCCTAACTAATGGTGACAAGGAATAAAATTTGAGATATTTAGGTCGTTTCTTTTCGATTTTAAAACTAGTGTAAGTGAAACATTAAATTTTGGTATAACATAAAAAATGAGTATAATATTAATAACTAGACCGATTGAAATTTAGATTTTGCACTATAAACGAACGAATTTGTTATCCCTCAAGTTTACACTGATTTCACATTTTGTCCCCTATGTTCTCAAAAAATATATTTGGTCCTTGTTTAAAAAATCAACATTTTTAGTCTTTTTCGTTAATTTCGTTAGCACTAACGGAATCAAGCATGTGTTCATCACTACATTAATTGACGAACTAACGGTAAATTTACCAAAATGACCAAAAATGTTAAATTGCTGAAACACGAGGGAGTAAATGTATAGTTCTTGTGAACATGAGGGACCAAATATGGAATTGGTGCAAACTTGAGGGGTGAAAACTGTAATTTCCCCTATTTTTTGATTTGATGATTTTGTCTGATCAATATTTCAAGAAAATTAAAATTAGAAGAAAAAAAATTATTTTCCTCTATTTATAATACTTGAATTATTTAGTAGAAATATACGGTGAGCTAATTAATAATGAAAACACACACACACACACACACACAGTGAATTTGTCCACTTGCTGGCTTCCTTTAATAGAAATAAAACGCAATGATAGTAACTTATAAGAAGTATGTTAAAAGAGAGGACTGAAACAGCATATTATTTTAATAGAGGGGCAGCTGATGGATATGCCTATAAATACTATTATTTATATATATATATATATATATTGATGAATGAAGAAAATAAATAAATAAATAAAAAAGGATTAAATATGTGAGTTTTGGGCAATAAAAGTTAGTGGACAAATTAAGAAAGAGTAAGAAGCGAATATAGGGTTGAAAGACTGATTAGGAAAAAGAACTATGATATATGGTAGTAGGGGGGGTGGGGGGTGGGGGTGGGTCCCATGTGAAAGGTAAGGCTGTCCCTAAATCTATTGAAACTTTTATTAAAAAATGAGTACATCCAAATGCGTTTTCGATCTCTGATTGGCTGCTTTTTGTACCTTCTCTTACTACTGACATTGACATCTTTCTAACCTTGTACGGACCCCCTCCCTCCCTCCATTTTCTCTTTCTTTCTAATTTCTTACCTTCATACATATATACATATGATGTTGTGTATCTCTTCATCTGCCATGTATCTATATATATATGTGTGTGTGTGTGTATAGAACACAGCCATGCATGAACTCTTTGTTTCTCTCTCTTCATAATTATTATTATTAGTTCTTGGACTTGACTTAGACTTGGCCAAAACTAGCTACCCAAGAAAGAATTAGGGTGTTTTTTTTTTTATTTGATTTTATTTATTTATTTATTAATATATTATTATTTTTTTCTTTTGTTGCTGGGGTCTGAATAGGAAAAAAGAAAAGAATATACATAAATAGGAAGAAGCTAGTGTGTGTGTGTGTAAAAAAAGTGTGGAATCCCATCCCTCTCTCTCTCTGTTAAACCTTTGCTAATTCATAATAAGTAAGTCTTAAATAGAATTATTACTATTGTGTTAATACTTTTCAAGAAACTTACTTTCTCTCTCACGCACTAAAACACACATACACACACACACATATATCAGATTTGTATCTTCCCATTTTTAGGCCTATTTCATCTCTTACCTCCAACCAAAAGTCTCTCTGGGTTTTTGCCATATTTGTAATCATACCCCTCTCTCTCTCTCTTCTCTCTCTTCTTCTTTTTTTACCACACTCTTTTTCTCCTCTCATTTTCACATCACTCATTTTTGGCAAATTCTTACAATACTTTGCACAATCGCAGGTGATGATGATTCAAACATAAAACTATATATAAATATAACATATAATGCAATATTTCTATTTTCTGTTTTTTTTTTCTTAATCCTTTTGTTCATCCAAGAATCAATTTTTATCATCACCACAGCCCAGTTCTTGAAGATAAAAATCCAATCTTTAATTTCTTAAATCTTATTGAAAGAGGGTCTTTTTTTTTTCTCCAGTTTACACGCAGTTGAGTGTGAAAATGGTGAGAGGGAAGACACAGATGAGGCGTATAGAGAACGCAACAAGCAGACAAGTGACCTTCTCAAAGAGAAGAAATGGGCTGCTCAAGAAAGCATTTGAGCTTTCTGTCCTCTGTGATGCTGAGGTGGCACTCATAATCTTTTCCCCTAGAGGCAAACTCTATGAATTTGCTAGTTCCAGGTAATTTTTTTTATTACATCATTAGTATCTTCAAATAACTGTCATCAAAATTTTACACACACACACACACACACATATACATACATATAGATTCTTGTATGGATCTTTATCTCTTTGTCTTTTGCTGATGTTGGATTTGATATCTGAATGTGAAAAAGGTGCAATCTTTAGCATTATTAATGCATTGTTATATATGGGTTTTGTCTCTAAGATCATGATGGCATCTGTTCTTGAAAATCATGATTTTACAGATATATATGATTTGCTGCTTCCCTCTAATTATATATTTGGGATATGCATTAGTAGATTTCTTGCACAAGAATCCAGTACAAAGTTCTTGTCTTGATTTCATTATGGATTATATATATATAGATTAACTTCTTGAATTTGAGGGCTCATCTAAGATTAAAAAAAAAAAAACACACCAGCTTTTAGATTAAGTTCTTGTGTTAAGATAATTTTCAAGACTTGATTTTTATTTGAAGTCTGAAATAAAAACTTGATTGTATATAAAGAGAAGTGTTGAATGATCACAATTAAACTATATATATCTCAAATTCTCAATAAGTACTATAAGAAAACTATCTTTAAAATTAAATCAACTCTTCTATTCTTGAATTATGGTAAATTTAATCAAGACCCTTTCTAGCTAGAGCTAGTAGAGATCCCTATATATTATATATGTATATGTATGTATGTATATGTATGTGTGTGTGTGTGTGTGTGTGTGTGTGTGTGTGTGTGTGTGTGTGTGAGTCAAGGCAGTACCTAGTAAAGCATTTGTCTTTGATCAAGACACCATCCCTCTTCATGTATGTGTCTCCTTTTATGACATGTAGAATCTTTTTGTGCAACCAATGCTTGTACGAAGTTGGATATATATATTTTTGCATATACCAATAAAAATATTGTACCTCTCTATATATATATTTCAATAACTATTCAGTTAAGATGAACAAATTACAATATAAATAGCATTTTGCAAAATCCTAATTATCGATTTCTCGTTTTGTTCACATCGCAAAGTATATACATATCATACGGAGGGAGGTGTGTGGCATCGATGCATTGAGATAAAACATAAAATGCAACAAACAATTGATCTATAAATTTCAATTGTAACAAGGTTTAGGGTAATGTTAGTAATTAAATTAAAGTGGCGAAAAGAATTAATCGATCGGGGAGTGATGTCCCCTTGTCTTCTTCGGTTCTGTAGAACCTACCCACGTGGTGAAAGTTGTACGATCTTATCAGCAGTCTTCTTCTTCCCTATATTTATGTTGAAAGTTTTTAATTTTGTAATTGTTGTGATTTCTTTTGTTTTAAAACATAAGCCCCAAATTAGAGCTAGGGTTTTGACCTTGAACAAAGAATTGACCTTCCAATTTGTAATTGTAAGGAAATAAGTACAAGTAAATGTTATAGAAACTAAAGTTCTTAATTATTAGTGTATATATATATATATTATATATCAATATTTGTTGATTATCATGGGGGTGATATTATAGTTAATTAGATTAAATTATATGTTAATTAAAAATTAATGCATAACCATTTGATTTTTTTTTTCATATATTTAATTAGAAAATATCATCCTATTAATGGCTTCTTTTAAAGATTTATTCATTTCGAATAAATTGAGGATTAAATTGTATTTTGGTACGCGCATATATAAACTTCGCAGCATGCATGACACGATTGATCGATACCAAAAATATACGAAAGAGATTCAAGCTCACAAACCCCCCGAAGAACATAATATGCAGGTTATATTTTAATCCGATGTTCTTGAATTCCTCGTGTATATAAAAAAAAAAATTAGTGCATTTTTCACATGTCGATTGTTAACATGTGACCGAAAATTGCAGCAATTAAAGCACGAAGCAGCATGTATGATGAAAAAGATCGAGCAGCTTGAAGCATCGAAAAGGTCTGATTTTTTTTTATTTTTTTTTTAAATTTAATACAAACCTTGTTACACTTTTTAATTTGCTAGTAATTATCGAGAAAAATAAATAAATAATTAAATAAATCTGATATCTGATTATTTATATATACTTTTTAGAAAGCTACTTGGTGAAGGTTTAGGTGCATGCACCTTCGAAGAACTGCAGCAGATAGAACAGCAGCTCGAGCGCAGCGTCGGTACCATTCGTGCAAGAAAGGTATATATATATATATATATATATATATATATTTATATATATATATATATTACGGAATGTGATCGATAATTCATTTTATGTATTAATTTATTTGTGGATTCAGATGCAAGTATACAAGCAGCAGATTGAGCAGTTGAAAGAAAAGGTAATCTATATATGTGGTTTAAATTTATTACAATTAGAGTTGCAAGAAATATTGTGAAATAGGGTTTAAATTGCAAATCGATATTATCGAGCATCGTGTATAGATACTCGTCGACATGTATGTTTATATGCGCGTTTATATTGTCGTAAATTTTTGTGTTGTTTTAATTATGGCCAGGGGAAAGCCCTCGCTGCTGAAAATGCCATGCTGTGTGATAAGGTATTTTAATTTGCCCTCTTTGCTCCATTTTATTTTTAATTTATTGTCTTTGATCTTTACACAATATCCTTAAATTCAGTACGTAGTACGACGAGATCGAAGAAAATATTATGATTTTAAAACAAATATTGCTACATTAATTCATGAAGGAGGAATAATTATTTCTCCAACCTATGATTTAATGTATTCTTTTTTTTTTTTTTTTATTTATTCTTATTAATAGTTTGGACTCCAAAAACAACAACGGGGATCGAACGAAGAGAGAGCAATTGTGCCGTCTACAGAGATAAGTGAAGTTTCAGATGTCGAGACAGAATTGTTCATTGGCCCCCCCGAGACGAGGAACAAGCGTCCTTTCCAGAAATGAATTTTATTTAATTATATGTGAAAAAAATATATTAATTATCCGTTTTTTCGTTTCGCCTTCTGTAAGTTTTATATATAAGTATTTTTTCTACATTTGGCTTTACTATTTTCATTTTCAATTAATTAGTTCCTGCTACTTGGAATTGCAAATAAATTGCCTATTTTGGAGATGTGAATCATCACATTCTTCTTTGTTTTTTTTTTTGCTTGGAATATGTATGTATTGTTCATCAAGTTGGCAATTTATTTATGATCCTATGAGGAGCTATGTATTAAGTGTATCTATAGCTTCTCTTGATGTGTATCTATACATTGTTTTATGCACTTCAATTTTGTAATGTATTTGCGCTTCGGCAATGTTTCGTGTATCGACCGACACCTGTCGGATACTTTTTGGACCAATATTTTTTAAATGTATTTACCTAATACGTTTTGTATTAGGTAAATCACAGTATTTATGTTACTTATCTCTATTATATTTCTGGTTTTGTATTACTAATATATATAATATTATATGTGTATCCTTTGGTGTTTATATATTCACTTACGACATTAATTTTAAGGGTAAATTACGATCACCTCCATGAGGTTAAGTGTATTTACAAAACGAAATTGAGAGATTACATGCATCCCCTTGCAGTTTGTAAGTTTCTTACATTCACTCCCTACAAGAGGAGAGTGTAAATGTAAGAAATCTACAAATTGCAGGAGTGGATGTAATTATTGAAAATAGAGGGGTTTATTCGTAAATAGATTTTACTTTAGGAGGTGATTGTAATTTACCCTAATTTTAAATATCATTGGACCGAGGCACTAACATTGGGCCACACCCACGTGCATTTTAATGGATATTGTAAGCCTCAATTTCTATTTGGGCCTATGCCTCTGTATTTTCTAACTAATGATAAAGGCCCAACAAAAATAATGAATTGTCTAAATTTTTCTTAAATAAAAATTAAAAAAAGAAAACAATTAAATCATGATTTTTTTATTTTTTTTATTTCTTTCAATGATTAATTACATTTAATATATCGAACCCACCAGAAGGACGAATTTACCCTTGCAAAATATCACGTGGTACGTCCATGATTTAACATTCCGTCCAAAATTGCTGGAAAGTTGAATTTACGCGGCACTGAGCAACGAATTAACAAACTTAGGTAAAATCGTTTAAGTTTTGTGTTTAATTTTGGGGACAAAGTACAAAATGACCATTAGTTTAGGAGGCAAATTGCATTTTACAAATTTATATATTATAGGGTAAATTACAACCACCCCCTGAGGTATGGTCAAATTACGAAAAAACCCATGTTTGGATAATTACATCTATCCTCAACTATGAATCTTCTTACACCTCCATCTTTATGGTGTCAAATTCGACATAATCATCTAGATTATGTGGGATGTGCTCTAGTTTGTACTCGTTTTGTGTAAAAATATAGTTTCTAATGCTCCACGATCTGATATATACAAGTCAAAAAACACATCTTATGATCATCTTGCTTCAAAATGTGGAACTCAAATGGGATAAAACGTGTACAAAATTTATAATATTCCATACAATCAAAAATATTCCACTAAATTTGAAACCACAAGGGTGGACGTGTAAGAAAATTTAAAGTTGAGAGAAGGTTTTGTAATTAAACATGATCAGGTGAGTTTTGTAATAACCCAAACATGAGGGGAGTTTTTGTAATTTATCAATTCTCAGGATGGTGGTTGTAATTTACCCTATATTATATATAGATAAACAAAAGGGATTTGTGCAAATTTTAATTTGTTGATATAAAACTCATATTTAATTTTGTAAATGAAATTGAAAATATTTATCCAACTACAAACCCATCGCCACAACGATTTTCCGGCGATAGCACTCCGTCGAGTCTATATAGTTGAGTTCCTTGAGTGACGACCAGCTAGAGCTAGCGACGGGATGTGGCTAAGGAGCTCTACACTGCGAAGACTTGGTCGACGATTTGAAAATCTTCGTACGTATGAACACATTATAAATTCCCCGTTCGATTATGATCATTCGCGAAAAGATAATATTCAATCATTCTTAATATAATACTTCTTAGTAATTAATAACCTATATCATGTAACTTCTCGTTTCTCTTAGGGAAAAGGAAAAAAAAAAAAAAAAAAAAAAAAAAAGCACACAAAGCCATTTAAATATAATGGGGAAACTACAGATAAATCCCTAATCCAAAACTTGAAAAAGAAATAGAGCATGATATATATATATATATATAGGGTATATATAGATATATAAAAAGCAGGTCAAGGTCAAGCTGGTCAAGGTGAAAGTCAAAGGGTCCAGGCTTGGAAGAAATTATTGTCAAGATCCATGCTTCTTGGAGCTGATGACCCTTCTCCAATATCATAGTCATGATACCTGCATGCATTTCATATACATATACATTTATTTATTAATTAATTCTTTTTCATTATATTCTCAATTTTATTTATATATATCCAGACATATACATATACATATACATATACATACCCCATTTGCAGAACAGGTTGTGGTTCAATAGTGTCCACTTGTTGGGAAGGTGGCAGTTGGAGATGGAAGCCGCCACCTCCGGCGGCCGATTCGCCGGAGTTCCACGGGCAAGGAAGCCCTCTCATACCTTGTCCTTCTGCCTCAAGCTGCATATTTATTTAATTAGTTTACTAATTTAACATTAATATTTAATAGAACAAAGTAAATGTCAATAATTTCTATAAATTACAATAATATGAATTTGAGATTGATGTATACCGTTGACATTTCGAGTGAGACTCTGATCTTGAGTTGCTTGTTCATGTCTCCCAGCTGGCGCTCCTGTAATGCAAAATAATAATTAATTTATCAATAATCAATATATATTAATCAATAATAGAAGTAAATTAATCTTTATGTAAATATTATGGAAACTACTAATGTTTAAAATATATATATAATTTTTTTTTAAATAAAATCAATATCAATAAATACCTTTCTGCGTAGATCTTCCATTTGTTCCATCATAAGCTGTGTCTGCAATAATTAATTACACAGGCAAACCTTAATACTTGGTTCAAATAATTGTGGTTCAAGATTTGGGAAAATATTTATATATATATATATATATTAAAAGGGATAATATTATTAGTATATCTATAAATATAATAATAAATAAAAAAAGAATAAATAAAAAACAAAAAATACCTTCCTTTGCCTGGCTTGAACAAGGGCAAGTTCAAGCTGTTTTTCAAGATTTTGCAACTCCTTAATACTCAACGGTCCTAAATCTTCTCCCAGCAGATGCCTTTATTTCCCTCCCATCATTCATTTTTCACATCCATCACCATACATATATATATACATACATATATACATAACACATATCTATGTGTGTGTGTGTGTGTGTGAAAAAATAGTAATTAATTAATTTATTGAATAATAATAATGGGATATTGACCTTTGAGTTCTTTGCAGAGATTCATACTTGGCCTTCAATTTTGAAACCTCTTGGTACCAGCTCTATACATACATACATACATACATACATACATACATAAATATATATATTTTGTACACCAATAAAGAAATTCAATTATTAATTGATATAGATATGTATATATAGGTTAATTAATAATTGGAATATGAAAACTATATAAAAAATTAAACCTGTGTTTCTCTTTCAGCATTGGTTTCTTGAGGATTGAAAGAGCAACGTTGGTACCGTTCGAGTGTCTCCGCCGTGCTGCCGCCGTAAATAAATATATTTAATTATTAGTAAAAAAAAAGACTAAATAAACAAACTTGAATTCATTATAGGCTACATCATTTTTTTAAATGTAACAAATTAAAGATGTTAATTAAAGAGATATATATGTAATCACCTGGTTGCAGGTCACATTTCCAGTAACAAATATATGTAAGAATCTGAATCTGATTTTTTTTTTATTAATTAATTTTTTTTTATTTGTATAAAATATAACAAATTAATAATAATAATCATTACAATTGGAAAGAGTAAAGAAGATGATCTTTGCTGACAGTAATATTTTCAGCTAACAATGAATAATCAGACCAAATTCTTGACCTGAAAAACTCACCTTTTTCAGCTAACAATGGAGACAAACAATATTACGAAACTGACCCTATTTTTTTTTTTTTTTTTATATTTAAATGTTTCACCAATATATATACATATATCATATATGTATATGTGGTGGCCTTGCCAAATAAATAAATAAATAAGAGTCACAATTAATAAAAGATGAAAAGATTTCTGGATAAAGACTGGGTTTTTTCACATGCATGATGCAACCCTCTTCTGATCAGATTCAGACCCATTTTAATTTCTTCAATTTTCATTACAATAAAAATAAATACTGCGCAGATTGCACATAGTTAAGCGTGTATGTACGTATCTGCAATTTATATATGTAGATACCAGCAAAGAAACCACAAGATCTGAGGATGTAAGAGAAACAAGACAAAATTTGACACTGATTTTATTTAAGAAGTGTTATATCATTATTTAATTTTTGGTACCCCACTACAATTTGTGAAGCACATAAAAAAGTGTATGTGTGTGTGTCTAGAGAGAGAGAGAGAAGGAAGGAAGAAAAGAGGAGAGAGAAACCCTAGATCTTGCACAGAGGTCCAAGAAAGGGTTTCAAGAATAAGGAAGTTTTCTGATATTTTTAATTTCTGGATTCTCAGAAAAATTAACTCATGTAACGTGTCGATCCCTCATTGGAGATTCAAACACACAAGAGAGAAAAAAAAAAAGCATCAATCTTGATTCTTGAAGCAATAAACAAATGATAATATAAAAATACAATATTTAAATAAAATAAAATAAAAACTGCAACTCTTTAAGAAATCAGTTGGGTAACAGAAAAAACCCCAGTTTGATATGATCTGATCCCCAAAACACACTCTTTTCAACCTTTCAGAAAATTAAATAATAAATAAAAAAAAGTAAATCTTCTTTTGGAGTTTACAAGGTATTATGAACAAGGGCTAACATTTACCAGCAAACCAAATTTATTTTTAATATACATATATATATATATATATATATATATATATATAACTATACGCACACACACACACACAAATGACTGGATATTAATGAACACACACAAAACCCATATGTCTGAAATATGTATGCTTATGTAATAACCATACAGAGAGAGAGAGAGAGAGAGAGAGAGAGAGAGAGAGAGAGAGAGAGAGAGAGAGAGAGAGAGAACCTAGTACTGGCAAACTCATAGAGCTTTCCTCGGCTGGAGAAAATGATTAGAGCAACCTCAGCATCACAGAGAACAGAGAGTTCATAAGCTTTCTTGAGAAGACCATTTCTTCTCTTAGAGAAAGTCACCTGTCTGTTTATCTTATTCTCTATCCTCTTCAATTCCACTCTACCTCTCCCCATTTCCTTCTTCTTCTTATCTTCACTCTCTCTCTGTGGTATATATATATAT